GCTGCTGCTGCTGCTGCTGCTGCTGCTGCTGCTATTTCTGGTGCTGCTGCTATAGTTGCTGCTGGTATTCCTTCTGCTGCTGCTTCTCTTCGTGCTGCTGCTGCTGTGGCTGTTGTTGCTTTTGCTTTTGCTGCTGCTGGTGTTGCTGCTGCTGCTGGTGTTGCAGTGTCTCGTTGGTTGTGTGTATATGTTTCTTCTGTTGGTGGGGTTGGTGTTTATTTGCTGCTGCTGCTGCTCAGGTGCTGCAGCGGGGACTGGTGGCTCTAGAAGCATGCGAGGCGTCTCTGTCTCTGCGTGCTGCGGTGTCTGTACACCTCACCGTGTCTCCGTCTGGTGCTGCATCTGTGGGGTTGCTGCCTTGTCCCCTCAGCGAGTTGTCTGCTGCTGCTCCTGCTGCTGCTGCTGCTGCTGCAGCAGCAGCAGCAGGTCCCTGCATCAGCTGCGCATCTGTGGCGCCCCTCGCTGGACTGCCGCTGGGACTGCTGTCCCCTGCTGCAGCAGCAACAGCAGCAACAGCAGCAACAGCAGCAGCAGCAGGAGCAGCAGGAGATGTTCTGCTGCTAACTGGTGGTTCTGTTGCTGCTGCTGTCTCCTTGAGGGGCAGCAGCTTCTGCTGCCTCTCCGCCCGGGAGCTGGGGTATGAGGCCTCAGCAGCGCATGCAGCGAGGCTGGACATAGTAGACCCTGCATGCGCTGCAGCAGCAGAAGAACCTCTAGCTGCTGCTGCTGCTGCTGCTGCTGCTGCTCCTGCTGCTGCTGCTGCTGTCTCCGTTGCTCTTGCTGCTGTGGGGCTGTTCGACGAGGGCGCCGTCCGTCTCCTTTCGCTGCCCGCCCTGGAGCCCCTGCTGCTCCTTGATGCATGCAAGGGTGAGAGCTCTTGCTGCTGCTGCTGCTGCTGCTGCTGCTGCTGCTGCTGTTGCTGCTGCTGCTGCTGTTACGCCTGCTCATGTTGCTGGTGTATGCATTTCTGGGGGCATTATGGGGTCCCTTTGGCGCCGTG